CCATCCGCTGCGCTGTCCATATGCTGGGGGTCCACTTCGCTGATGACCATGACTGTCAATTTGCGCCCAAGAATTATCGTTCGTATTTGTCAGACTAACCTTTACCACAAGCTGCTGCGATTCCACCTCGAATGCTCCTACAATGCGCGGTCCTTTTGGTTGCGCGTGTGCGGGCGCTTCTTCATCCTCGCCCGTATATTTCGGTTTTGGTAAAAAGCTCGATAATGACTTCCTGGATCCTGTTAATGCCATGGTTGCGCGATTGAAAATATGCTGGTTTGATGCCGAACAAAAGAGTGTCGTTGTTGCTCCTACCCGAAATCTTGAAGATGTCACGTCCACGTGATCGTGAATGAAACCAGCCAGCCCTCTCTTCAGCCTCAGCTTCACTTTTGACCCTCACTATGTTTTGAGCTTAACTTTAAATTTACTGCAATGCAGACTGCATGTTATCCGTTTGCTGGTTGAGCGATTTGCGAAGGATGCGATCACCAAGTACTGCTAGTCATCTTAAAACGACAATGAATCGACAATAAATCGACATACAGTGACATGGATTCTGCTCTCGAGGACGAGATCCTCTCAATCAACGCAATATATTCAGAATCTACTTTGACACTTTTATCTGAGAACCCCGTCATCTGCTCCTTAGCACTGCCCGGAGAACATTCTGTATCTCTAAGGCTCGAGTTTCCACATTCATATCCGGACGCTCCGCCATCCATATTGGGGACTCAGTCTGTTGGTGAGAATGTTGGTAAAGGCGAGGGCACTCAGGTCGTCGAGATCTCACGTAATATCCTCTCCGAGATTTATCAGCCTGGCTCGCCATGTATCTTTGATCTGGTCGAGGAACTTAGTCAGAGACTTCAGCAGTTCTTCGAAGGCCTCTTCCAAGATCCAGGGAGTCAGGAGCAACAAACTTCTGAAAGCAATGGTCAGCAGCAAACCTCAGCTTTCGACCAAGATCTTGATCCTGATGAAGCACAGCCATCAGTCATGTTGGACAAAGAGCCGCCTTGGATCATATCAGACGCCTTTACCGAAAAGAAGTCGGTCTTTATAGCTCGTGCAGCTCGTGTGACCTCGACAGCAGAGGCCAGGTCTTACCTTCAACACTTGCTTGCTACCGAGAAGAAGGTAGCAAAAGCAGCGCACAACATCACTGCCTGGCGCATCCATGGGTCTAACGACACCTCATATCAAGATTGTGATGATGATGGCGAGACAGCAGCCGGAGGCCGCCTGCTACATCTAATGCAGCTAATGGATATTTGGGATGTCATGGTGGTCGTCACACGATGGTGGGGGGGCACTCAGATTGGTCCTGATCGATTCAGACTTATCAACTCTTCGGCCAGAGATGCTTTTGTCAAGGGAGGATTTGTGGATGAAGGAGGAAAAGACACGAAAGCTGAAAGTGGGAAGAAGAAGGGCAAGAAATGAGCGCATCCGTCTGCTGGGACGCTTGCACTCCATCCACCTGAATGCTTCAAGCAAATCGAAAGAATGGCCCTATGAGTTGATCCTTTGCGGTCTTTCCTTCTGCATCATCACTGCATGATATGGACCGACCCTCCCACAGTAAAACGAGCAAATAGAGCTGAATTAAGAGGCAGCTTTAAGCAGTACCACTTTACACGAGCCTCTCTGGAAATGGTGGACGCAAACGGCAGTCAGCAGGGTCGGGAATATTTTCGACTTAGCGTCAGCTAAAACACTCATTAAAATAAGCATAAAAACTCTATAAGAGACTAGACTTAGTAAAAGTAACTTAGTTTTAATTCTATTTTATTTATTAATATTATAGTAAGTCAGTTAGTATAAAAGAAGTTGATTTATATAATTATATAAATTAGAATTCCCTTTATATATAGCTAATTAATAAGCACTTATTAAAAAACGCTATTATATATTCCTTTTATATTAAAGCTAATAAGTAAAAGGACTTTCTTTTATTATTATACTTTAAAGATTTTCTTAATAAAAAGAAGTAATATTTAATTATATAATTATTATAATTTAATATTAAATTGTATTTTTAAAAAGAGATTGAAAATCTCTGCTTAGTATAATATTCTCTTTATTAAAATTGGTTTTATTAACTTGCTTAATATAGCTAGAAAAAAAAATATACTTTTACTATCTAATAATTAGGTTTCCTTAGCTTTTATAATAGTAGAATACGCGTTATTTTCTATATAGCTAATATATACTCTAATTAATATAATATATTGAAAATATTAATACCTTAATTACTTAAGCTTACTTAAAAGCATTTTTATATAATATTTAAAATACTATTTATTTTTAGAGCTTTATATAAACTGATTTTAATTATAGCTTTTATTACCTTTTTAACTAAGATATTTAGATTGTCTATATATTTTATTATTAGATTCGAATTATCCTCTTTCCAGCTTTCTAAAATTAATAGAAAGAAGTATTAAAATTTCTTAATTGCTTTAAAGCTCTATTTTTTTTTAGCTATTATTATTAATAATTATAATAGAAATATTACTAAATACTAATAGCTATAAATTAAAATATTTTATAGCTTTTTAAATATTGTCTATTTATATTAGAAAGTTATTTTAAGAAAATCGCTTTTTATTTTAAATATTTTTAATAATAACTTTTATAGTTATATTTAACAATATTATAAAAAACTAGACAAATAAAACATTTTTATAAATATAAAATAGTAATTAAAACGTATAGTGTATTAGCTCTTTTTATTAGATAAATAAAATTATAATAATCTAGCACTAATATTAAGAAATGTATAATTTACTATTAATATTAGCTATATTTAGTTTAATAATTATAATAGCTATAAAATAACTGATAGAACAATTATTAAAAAGACTAAGCTAAATAAAGAATTGCTAATTAATATTTATTAATAAAAAACTAATATCCTTTATTAAACGTTGCTTATAGTAACTTCTCTTTAATTATATTAATTAGTAACAATTTACTATTTCTTATTTTTGCTTTAAATAAATTAATTAATAAATTAGCTTTTATTTTAGATCTTACTAATTTTATTACAATACGCTAAGTATTTAATATTTATAACAATATATAGCTCTCTATATACTATACATTTTAGTATAATAGCTTTATATATATTAGTTTTATAATTCTTAGCGTATTTACTATATTTAAATAATTAACTGTATTTAATTTAGTAATAACTGTATTTATTATAGTTATAATATTTTTAAAAGTATCAAAATTTATAGTATTTATTAATAAAAGCTATATTACTCTTAATTTTAACTATTCTCTTATTAAAAGCTTTTTAAGCATTTTTTATTATAATTAAATAAACTATTATTGATTTTATAGGTTTCTCTCTTTTAGAGAGCTAGAACGCTTTAATAACGTTTATAAATTTATTTTTAATGTTAAATATTATTATAAACTCTAATTGAATTTTATAAGTATTAAATATTATTATAAACTCTAATTGAATTTTATAAGTATTAAATATTAAAATTACTATTTTATATATATTATCAATTTTAATAGAAAAGAAATCCTTTTTATAAATTTACGCTATTTTAAATACTTAATAAACTTATTTATTATTTAAATATAGTTAGGCTATATCTTTTTTATTTTAAATAATAACTTTTATAATTCGTAATTTAATTTAAATCCCTTTAATAATAATTACGCTTATTGATAATTAAATTATAATAGCGTTTTAAATTTACTTTTTAATTACTTTATTATTTTTAAATAATTAAAATTAATTATAATATTTAAAAGTTAGCGTAGTTTCTTTAAAAAAGTAAATAAAATTAATAATATTTTATTATATAAGTAAAGCTATATAGCTAATAATAATAGGTTAATAGATTTTAATATTATAAAAATATAGAAAATTAATAATAAAGCTACTATATTAAAGTTAATTAGAGATAATAAGCTTAACTATTTAAAGCTCGAAAGAACACTCTTTCTATTATTAACGTTAGTGTTAATAATTCTGATTTTAATATTAAGAATTTTAATATTAACTTTTATAATTTTGATTTCAATATTAAAAGCTTTTAAATTAATATTAATAATTTTAAGCTTAGTATTTATAGCTTTAAACTCTTTTTAATCTTTATATATAAAAGTTTGAATTTTATAAATAGCGTAATATTCTTTTAATAAAGTGTTTTATTCTAGTTATAAAGTAGCTTAAACTGTTCTTTTACTGCTTTTTTAAAAAGTTATTTAATATTTTTAATAAAAGGAATAATTATTGGAATTAGGTAAGCGAATAGGTTTGATTAACCTACTGCTTTATTTAATAGTTCTAGTTCTTTTTTAAGCAGCTATTGCAGCTCTTACTCTTTATAAAGATAGGATAGGAGCGACTATAGCGATAACGTTGCTAGGAATGGCTAGGCGGAACCCTTTCCCTCAATTAAAATCGACAGGAGTTGGATAGTCCGACTTGTCGAGTCGGTGTGTAGATGATAGTGTCAATTGATTGATGGATATCGATAGAAAATATCGATGTTCGTTTTCTTACAGGGCACTTTATTGATTGATTGATTGATTGATACGCTATGCGCTTACCACAGGAAGCATGAGCGGCTACTATTTACTTTACTAAGTATACAAATATTTATGGAGTCTGCGTCTCATTCTTCATTTCTAACTGTTAATGTGCCTCTGTATTTGTTTTTCGCCTTCTCTTAGCGTGTTAACCTATATTATAGTGGGGACCCAAGCCATTATAATACAAGTTTCGTTTTTAGCGTGGGACAGCTCCACGGAAAGATTTTATGGGCCCCTGAGGGATTCGAACCCTCGACTTTCTGTGCGTTCAAACAGATCTGACGCCTTGGATGATGGAGATCTAACCAACTACACCACCGGGGCCCAGGGCACTTTATTTTGCGGTTTCATTGGCTGCTTGACCAGTGACGCGTAGTGCAGGCCCAGGAGAAGTTCGTTTGATGTATAGAGTCATCTTTCATGATTTAAGAAATGGTTCTGTGGTGTAGTTGGTTATCACTTCTGTCTAACAAGCTTCACAGCGAGTGCACAGGCGGTCCCCGGTTCGAACCCGGGCGGAATCATTTTGCCCATGCTTCATGGTCGACTCTATCTTCCATTTTGCTGCTCTCAATCGCAAACGCAGACTAATAAACGGGTTGATGGACTTATTAATAGGATGTACTCGTGATGGTACGGTTTGTGTCTCGTTGCCTCACAGCACTTCCTCGGCAAACGCCCTGAGATCCATGACTAGGTCTTCTGATCCCTCCCATGCCGGTCGCCTCATCTCCCTCATGTGTCTCCGAATCCAACACAAATTATGAAAAGTGGATGCCCAAGCGGGTGGAGGTCTTTCCGACAGGCTGACCGTCCTGAAGTGGCTGACCCCAAGAGTAATCGGTGAATATGTGCGCCACAACGGTCCGGTATGTTGTTTTTCTTTTGCAACGTTACGCAGCCATTGCAACGGGCCCTCCGGTCCAGGAAGCCAATACATCATCGTCCAAAAGATTATTTCTTGGGGACTCCATGGATCCTGGATCGAGGCACCGGGGATGGCTTGTGTGCTTGGGGAACAAGACAGATCTCCGGGGCTAGCCAGATCTAGTACCAAAGCAAGCAATCCAGTCGGTGAGTCGGCCAAAGCATATGAGAGTGTCTGTGTACCAAGCACCAATGCTTCTACCGGCGACGTGCGCCTCTCCCCAGAGCGACACGAGGCAATATTGTCGAAATCGGATGGGACATATCCAAAGCTAAGCAAAGGATATCTTGCTCCCGTGAGCATTGCCACGTGAAACATTGCCCATGCAAGAGGTGTCTGCCAAAATCTCGGTCTCGGCACTTCCAAACCAGCAGTGTGCAATGCAATGCAGCTTTCTGGATGGCGTAAAGCAATGGTCCTGCAAACTAGAAACCCCCATCTGGACCCGTGGAGCAAATACCGTTCGTACCCCAGTTTCTTCATAAGCGCATCGAATACATCGGCCGTACCGTCGAGTCCGAAAGCTGCATCTGAAGAAGGATCACTGAAGCCAAAACCCGGTATGCTGGGACAAACGACGTGAAATGCCCTCTCACTGTTTCTGGTCGGCGTTGGCGTGGACACAGGCTCGCATAGACCCTCTATCACTCGGGCCACCTCAATAAAGCTGCTGCCCCAGTCATGACAGAACAGCAAGGGTATTGCATGTTCGAAAGAGGAGCGCCGATGTACGAAATGTAGGTTCGGTGTCTTATGAGATGTGCTGGTATCAGATTTAGACAAGAGAGTCAGACTTATGCGGTACTGTGGTAGCTGGTTGTAGATATCTTCTTGAGCGCGATGATCGTACGATTCTAGCCTGGACGACCATGTCAGTATTGTGATATCCAGTTTCACTAGACACATTCCAGGGCTATCACTTACCAGTAATCTAGCAGAGAGTCCAACACCGCTTTGGGAACACCGTTGCTCCATGGTATGGCATCCTTGACTGCCGGTAGCTCGCGCGGGACTCGGGCCAGGTCCAGCTTCTTCTTTGTCAGATCAAGCCAGCGCTGCGAGACCTACGAAAGGTCAATGCTCTGTGAAAAGTCCGGTCCTATAGGCACTATAGGCAGCACTTACATGAAGACGATACGGTTCAATGCCATCGTCTGTCCTGGGGGCATTCCCCGGTGCTGACTCGGACGAGGCCATTGAACGAGGACTTCAAGGCAGCAAGAAAAGAATATGCCAGTCAGTAGCAGAAAGCAAGAGGAGTGGAGCACAAGAATTCATGAAACGAGCTTGACCTTTTTCAGACCCGAAAAGAGAACCACATGTATATGCAGTGGATCAAAGGTAGGGCAGGCACCCACATGACAGCAGACCAGCATATGAAGCAAAGACCTAAGGAAAAGCCGGACGATGGCCACGCCGCGTGGCATTTCTCTTCCCACTCAGTGATAGCCAAGTCGACTGAAACAAGACCGGCGAGCCATAGCAGCAAATCACATACTCAGAAGAAGCCAATGCGGCACAGAGAGCCCCCGAGTATGCAAGCCTCACGGCCGCTTCAGTCTGCAAGTTGTGGAGAAAGCAAGTAACCGATCATCAATTCTGCCCATGTCAACCTCGGAAAGACGAGGATGGGCTCGTGGTCCAGAGCAATCCTCGGTCATGTCCGAAAAGACCCCATGGAGCCTGCCCTCTACCGCATATGATGTCTTTAGTCAGGAAGTGGTAGAAGCATTGTAGAAGTCATGTTGATTGGCTAGCCAAGCGCACAAGCATGTGCACATAGAGATCGTCATAGAGATCGACAGGGACAGGCACAGGCACAGCCTCATTGTCGCCACAGTGGCTTGTGCCATCCCCCAGGGTCCGGCTAGGAGTTCCGCCCGAACCTTCAAAGTGGGAACATCGGGAACAAGGTGCCAATTCGTAACTCCAATAATGGTAACTATGAATAATGCGGAACTGATGACGAGCGGAGATCACGCGTCATGTGAGATAAGACCAAAGGCCTCCTCGAACGTGGAAATGCTTAGATCTCGATCATTGTCCTTATTATTTATGTTCTCATCCTTAAAATTGTCCAGGACTGCGATAACCGCCGGGGTATCGGTGCCGTAATCCATCGCTTGCTCGCTCGTCAAAAGAAAAGAGGAAGTTATCTCGTAACACGCTCTGGTAAGAAAAATTACGCCTCATTCGTACCAGCATTAGCTAGTCCTTGTCGAGCTTTCAAGGTCAGGTTCTGCAGTCCCGTCACCAAGGATTCTCCGACAGCATCGACAGCCCCTCTGGGACTGAATAATGACGGAGCCTGGACTTGACCGGCCTTTATCCTGAAAAGCTTGATCTTTGTGCTGCTCCAGATACCACTGCCGGAGTTGGACGCCCTCTCGACGTCTTGAGAAGCTACCAGGGCCCAGTAAAACGCAGCGTACATTGCGGTGAATGGCGGCTGAATGAAGAATTTGTGCAAAAGATGCTTGCTCGGCTCCAGACACGTGGTTCCAATGTCACGCACCGGCTTCAGGACCTCCGCAATGGTAAGAGCATCAATCGCTGCTGGGGTTGGCTCAGTCTCCAGCTCTGATAGTATGTGGTCTATCCATGCGTCCAGGGACAGTATAACATATAAGGTGGTGCTCAATGGCATCTGCTGGAAGAGGGCGCGGACCTAATGGAGTCAGTATTTCTTATTGCATGCGGTTGGTTACAGCTTACTATGTCCGCATCACCATTCGATACAGAGGCATCTTTGATGCTTTCGCCAAATCCATTCTCGGGTTTCTTGCCGAGCGCTTTGTCCGACATGATTGACACCTTTTCAGCCTCCAGAGTCAGCCTCGAGCCTCGGCGGCTGCGAGATTCTAGCGGAAAGTCTGAGATGGAGGTACGAGCCCCTCTCGGACTGCCAAGCTGCTCCCATGTCCCTGCTTGATAATCTGGACGCGTCAGGCTACGTTCTCTCATATTCACTATATACGAAGACTCGATCAGTGGAATGAGCACGGTGCCATCGGGCGACTGTACGGGCTCTGTCAAGCCTTTTTGGCGGAGACCCTCTGCAAAAGGTCTGAAACTTTCGTCGGCTTCGATGCGGAGATCAGCCAGGTGCTCGAAGGTGCGTCCGTACTTCCAGACCGCCCAAAGTACGTTTTCATTCCCTAGAAACCATGTCAGCAGCTGTATTACCATGGAGAGAGAGGAGAAAGTACCATGCCCGGACCGGTGTTCCTCGACCAAAGTATCAATGGCTCTCACTAGGTTGCTGGTTATCATTGCATTGATTTCAGTTGTTACCAGGCTTCGGTCACGCGAGACATAGTCCAGCACTTGCATCATTTTCATGCTGGTTGCACGTCCAAGGCCAACAACATAGGGAGAAATATTAACGATGATGCCTACAAGCGACGAGGACATGGCGTTCATGCGTCCATGATGATCCGGCTTCAGGATAGTGAAGAGCCACTGTAAAAGGTTCAGCACAGAAGAATTGCTCAAAGATGTGGATGTCAACGTACCGTCAGCAGGTAGTCGGCATATGAACCATGGAAGTTTTTAATCTGCATGAATGGAGGTAGATTGTCATGACCATCGAATGGCTTGTTCAATGAACGTGCGTACTCGGGGCTTTCGCTCATGACCTGAAGACACAGTGTGCTGACTCTAACGACTCCTTCCATGCTCGAGTTCGGATCCAAAACGTAGAACAAGAGGAAGACGGTCAGCTCGAACTGTCGGCCAGTCTCGCAGACGAAGGCGCGGAAATACTTGTTGCAGTACATGGCTTCCCAGAGCAGGGGTATGATCTCATGGGCCCAAGTGAGGGGCCTTTGAACGATGTTCAGAGCATTGCTGCTGGCCTCCAACTGTGTATGAATGAGCATGCGTCACATGGACATGGGAGGCTGAGAAGGACTCACGGGTTGGCGCAAGATCTTTACGATACCTTCGGCAAGGAATTGTAAATGTGTGGCCTTGTGCAAATGTGCAAAGAGATCTCGGAATCTGTTTGGTGGCTGGTTCTTTTCCGGAGAAGTCCATGGAGCGCGGTTGAGCAGATTGACAAGTAGAAAATGTAGGCAAGTGCGAACGTGAGTCTCATGAACTTCTTTGGGCGATTCACCATAGCGAATGTAGCGAGCATCTGGCTGGTATTTCATGACCTGGACATGGTTAGAAAAGCGACTGCAAGATTATGAATGCAGCAGTACCGTATTGAGAAGGGAGCACAGGAGATACTGGACTTTTTTGCGATCGGGATGATTGGAAATGAATGTCACAGCCTCGCCTCCGTACTGAGAATAATCGACTGTTTTGGTAGGTCAGTACAAGATGAGGTATGAAAGTGACAAAAGTGTGGTTCCGGCGTACCAGTGTTCATGTAGATGCTTTTACTCTCAAGGGTCAAGAGTAATTGCATGATCTCGGTCCGCCTGCTTTCGAATTCCTTGCTCGTGTCTAGTCGTCTCTCATATGCGATGCCGCTCTGCCAGAAGCCGTAGGTTGGGCCATTTGGACCGTCGGGGTTGATCGGAAGAGTGAAGCCGGCCCAGAAAGAGAGATCCAGGAGGGTATCTACCAGGTCGAGACCAAGGCATG